CAGATTCATCCTAGAGGAGGTTAAACCAGGCTGCTCCTTGGAGGCAAGGATTCTGAGGCTTCGTCTGACATACTTTGGACATGTTGTAAGGAGGGAGAGGTCCTTGGAGAGGGACATCATGCTTGGGAGGGTGGAGGGACGGCACAAGAGGGTAAGACCCTCTATGAGGTGGATTGATTCAGTGACTGGGGTAATCGGAATGGGTGTGTCAGAGTCAGTGAGATTGGCACAGGATAGAGCAGGGTTTAGGGCTGTTGTACACAGGGTCGCTATGAGTCGCAAGTGACTCGATGGCATGTAACAACAACAACAACAATCAGATTGATCTAACAAATGTTGGTGGTTGTTATTATGTGTAATCATGTCACAGGGGAACCAACCCATAGCTGACTCTCCAATGAGTTTTCAGGGGTAGTAAATCACAAGTGAGGAGGTTGCCCACCTTTCTCCTGCAAATCAGCTAGTCATTTTGAACTGAGTGCCTTTGGATTGGCAGTGCAGCTCCTTACCACTAGGCCACCAAAGCTGCCTATTAGAAGTTTAGATGGACATATAAGTATTCATCCTCTGTTCAAACTCTTTGTGAGTTTTTTCGTATCCCAATTTTTGTTTGTTTTTTAATTTAAGAGATTTCTAGTTTTTGTCTTGGAGTAATGATACTTTCTTGTTTCTGGTCTTTATACTTCTTGCCAATTAGGCAAAGGAAGAAGAGCTGAATCAAAGCTCTTGTTGCTTGTAAGCCATTTACAATAGCTGTTATGTGACCCAGCTGTTGTGCTAAATATAGGGTTTTGGATTATCTGTAACTGTTCTGTCTCCCATTACCAAGGTTAAGGAAGAAGAGACTGTAGAACTACTGAAACATCAATTACAAAAGAAACCACATATTGCCATTTTCAGTAATATGAAAGGCGAATCCACTGGGAGCTTATCTAAAGATTAAGGCCTTGTTGCCATTTATCAGAAGTTTCAGGTTCTCTTCATAATGCTAAAATATTTGAATATTATCTTTCTAAAGTGTTCTGTCATTTCTGAGTAGATAAAATCTTAAGAGTAATGGTTGAGTAGGGAGTTCTGGTGGCCTAGTGGCAAGAAGCTGTACTGCAATCCTGAAGGTGCTGGTTCAAACACACCAGATGCTTTGCTGGAGAAGGGGCAATTTCCTCCTGTGCCAGTTGGATCCAATTTGACCGTGTACAAGAGGAAGAATGAAAAAGTAATTAAAGCTGTGTATACAATTTAACATATATAAATATGTTGTTTGTTTGTTGTTGTTATGTGCCATCGAGTCGCTTGCGACTCATAGCGACCCTATGTACAACAGCGCTAAACTCTGCTCTGTCCTGTGCCAATCGCACTGTCTCTGACACTCCCATCCCAATTATCCCAGTCACTGAATCAATCCACCTCATAGAGGGCCTTCCTCTCCTGCACTGTCCCCTCCACCCTCCCAAGCATGATGTCCTTCTCCAAGGACCTGTCTCTCCTCACAACGTGTCCAAAGTATGTTAGACGGAGCCTCAGAATCCTTGCCTCCAAGAAGCCACCCGGTTTAACCCTTTCCAGGACAAATCTGTTTGTTTTCCCAGCAGTCCATGGTATTCTCAATACTCTTCTCCAGCACCACAGCTCAAAGGCATCAATTCTCCTTCTATCCTCCTTGGTCATTGTCCAACTCTCTGATGTATAACAAGTGATTGCAAAGACCATGGCCTGTATCAGAAGCACCTTAGTCTCCAGAGAGACACATATATGGAAAATTAAATTTCTTAAAATAGACATTTTCATGAATTTGTGATTGATCTGAGGAGCCCTGGTAACCTGCACACTTAACTGCTAAGCAAAAAGTCTGTAGTTTGAACCCATCAACTGATCCTGAGGAAAAAGACCAGGCAGTTGGCTTTCCCAAAGATTTACAGCCTTGGAAATTCAATGGGACTTCCTGGTCTATATATAGCATTGCCATTAGTTATAATCATTTGACAGAATTGAATTGGGTTTTGCAGACAGATCAAAGTAAAAAACACAATTATGATTTCTATACCTTATAAAAACAACTTTTGATGTAAAAGTAGTACATGATGTTAAAGGGTATAGAGTCAACTTGGTATCATAACAAGCTGTGTGCACTGAAAGAAACACCGCTTGGCCTTGTATCATCCTCACCTTCTCACTCTGTTTTGTTGGAGCCCATTGTAATCACTGTGTCAGTCCATCTAGTTGCAGGTCTTAATTTGCTGATTGTCGGCTCAGCCAGGTTTGGTGTCCAGTGGAATAAATTCAAGCATCACTGCCATCCTAGTACATAAACTGACACATGAGTGTTGGAGAGTGATACATACTCATTGTAAAATTTTGGAAAATACAAGAAAGTACAGTGAATAATCTTAACAGCTCTCCTTTCAATCTCCCCTAACACATTGCTGTTATGATTTTTGTATGCAAAATGATTTCTAAAAAAAGACTCCTCCCCCCCACGAAACCAAAGAGCATTGCAAAATTTTTTACATCTTGTTTCCATTTTGGGTTTGTAACCTCACATAAATTTGTCCATAAGAGTAGCTAATAACTTCAGTCCTTTTAAAGGTTTTTTATTTTAAGTACAGCAGATCGTAGTCATCTGTTTGTGTTTAAGGGATGATAAAACATCAACAACGTGAAATGTCATCATGTCACATTGTTATAGCACAACAACAAAATTACAGCTCCCTAACAATAACATGGTGTCAAAAGTGTCCTCCTGCCATGAGTCAGTGCTTTAGAAGCTATAAAAGTTATTTTAAGCACAGTGAGTACCTCGGAAGTCCGGGCTCTGAATCTTCACAAAATCACTTATTTGGAAAAATCTAGAGTGAAGGGAGGGTGTACCTGTTTTTAAACTCTCCACTCTCTGATCCACATAGATTACCCACCCTCCTGTCTTAGTCGTGCCAAACCTCAGTTCCAACTTGTGCGCTGAAATCCACCTGGGCTTAGTCCTTAACTCTGTGTCAGTATCCCGTATAGAGTAGGAGGAGGAAACTATAATTATTCTCCACGTCTAGGGCAGGCCCTGAAATGACATCTCCCCAGTTACCCTGTGCTCTAATAACGCAGCTCCTGGTCCCAGACGCGCGCCACAGCCTGCTTGCAGCGCGGGCGACAGGAGAACATCTCCAAAGCACCTTCCGCCTCTAGGGCTCGCCAGTCTCTCTCATCTACTGTCCTTCCCGGCTTTGCGTTGTACAGAACAGGCACCAGCAGTCCAAGCCCTGGCCCCCAAGCTAGTGTCTAGGGCGCGAGGGGTTGCCATAACAACCTGCCCCAGGCCTCGGAGCTCGCTGGGGAGGAAGTGACGAGTGGTGGGTTGGCTGTTGTTGGGACACGTGACCCGGGCAGTGTTTTGACAGGGCAAACAGCAGAGAAAGAACTGGGCGAGTGAGGGGGAACTGGAGCTGGGTCGCCAGATCTAGAGACAGCTGGGAGAAGAGCTGGCAGAGGCCGGGGGCAGGCAGGCCGGCCCGAGCGACGTGGGGCAAACCCGGGGGCCACAGGCCTCTGGTGGGAGCCAGGCAGGACAAGGGGCTGAGTGCAGGGATCGAGCCAGGCAGCCAAGGCGGGGGTGGATGGCCACAGGGGCGCCGGGGAGCCACGTTGGGCTGGCCGTCTCAGGCTCCCATGGTCCACTAACACAGCCCCGGGGGCAGCTGCACGCAGCACTGGGCGCTTGCCGGCCTTGCGCCTCCTGGAGCTCCGGGTCTGAGGTGGAAGTGTGATGTGAGCCACTGGGCGAAAGAAGTACCAAGAGGAGGTATCGGGAACTAGAGAGCAGAGCGAGTTAGTCAGCAGAGGTCGGCTGAGGGAGGCGAGGGGCGAACCTGCCCGAGAGCGCCATGAAAACAACTCTCCTGAGGGGAGAGAGGAAGGTGCAGCGCTCGGTGCAGCGGAGCTGAAGGAAATTCAGGGCCCCCGACCGGACAGGAGGAGCCTGCACCCCACAGGCTGGCCAGAGTCGGGGCAGGCACCCAAGCTGTAAACATCTTCAGACCAGGCTCCGTCGCAGGGGAGGGTTGGTAGGGGGTGACCCGGAACAACCGGGGAGAGTTCATTTGGGGCTTGGGGGCCTGGGCGCGAGGAGATGACTCGAGTTTATTTCTGACCCTCTTATTGTGTAAACTTGACTGCTGTTGCCACAGGAAGGCTAGCCAGAGGGGTAATTACACAGGTGAGGCCCAAGTAGGGCGGGAGGGGCGCTAGTCTGGGCCCTGGGGGTCTTGAAAAGTCTCCTGCCACCAACTCGAAGAATTAATCTTAACAGACATTGCAGAAGTGCCACTGTCTCCAGCGTGTTTTTGTTGGTTTTACTAAGGGATTAGTTAGCTTGCTTAAATGTGGGGATTTTTTTTTTTTTTTCTAATTCCTCCTGGCTTGTACCTCCAGGTTATAAATAGATCTTGCTTTTGGTTCTGAGACACTGTGTCAAAGAAGGACACTTTGGCCTGGAGACCGCAGGGGCGGGGAGGAAGAAGGGTGCCGGGTCTCCTGAGAAGCGGAGGCCGCGCTGGGAGAGTTTTGCTTTCTGCGACCTGCCCACCGTGCTGTCACCATAGCTGGTGCTAGAAAAGGCCTGTTAGGAGTTTTCTTGCAAGTTTCGAGTTTCAGAGCACGACCAAATGAATTTTCTTTTGATCTCTTTTAGCATCTTGAAAACAAAGCAGAAACCGCAGAATCAGCGGCGAGCCGGTTGAAAAAAACCCACACGTGTATTTTTCAAAGCACTCTGGGTGGAAATTGGATGTGAAAATGAAGCCAGAGCGAGGTAAAAGATTTCTTTAAAGGTCTAGGTGTTTTGCTGGTGTTTAGGGTGGTAATGTGGTTCCCCACCCCCGGTGCCTAATTCTAGCGTTAACCTAATTCTGAAGCAGGCTTAACTATTTCTGCATTATATTGTGATTATTCCTGTGACAGATTCCAATTAGGGAAGTAGAGAAGAACATCTGTGAGTTGGGATCTAGATGGGAGGACAAGTTCTTCAATTGTGCTTAAAAAATTTGCAGACATTCTGGAGGTGAATCAAAATGAAGTTGTTCTGAAACAAACTTTTATCTGTAATCTCAGTCCTCGATAGCATTTTAAGAACTGCAGTTCCTCATTGTGAGGTAAAGTAAGTCGAACAACTTTAAAGAAGTTTTCAAGCTTTTTGAACTTGAAAATTTAAATATGATAAATACGACGTTAGTAGAATTGCTTTCTCATTAGGTGACTTTTGTACTCTAAGCAAACTACCAAAAGTTCTTACATATATTCCAGTATCTTCCTCAATATATCAAGTCTTATTCAGTATGTCAGTATGTGATTGGCACTATTAGTAATCGGTAAATGTGTCACTTCCATTATAAATGTGCATTTTTACAATTTATGAGAAGAATGTATACACTGTGCTTTTCAGGGGCTTAAAGGATTTAAAAATTCATTTGCCAGGCTTCATCTGACTAATGGCAAGGACCAACCTTAGAAAAGTTTTGTGGTGGTGATTAGGCATGGATACTTTGCAATCAGACAAACATGAGGAACCGTACCAGGCAGATTTGTTTTGGTTTGTTTGTTTTGTTTTATTGAGTGGGTTGTTTAACTAGATTACGGTACCTAGAATCTGGGAATTTGGGGCTGGAAATATTAATTGATCAGATGCTTATCTGAAGGAAAAAACCTGACTAGGGAGCTGTGGTGGCCTAGTGGAATAAGAGTTGCACTGCCAACCAAAAGGTACACAGTTTGAATCCATCAGTTCCTCCACTGCAGAAAGATGACTAGACTCATACTGTGCAGTTTACAGCCTCTGAAAACTTACTGGAGCCTCAACTATGAGTTGTTTCTAACTGAACAGCACATACCAACAAAACATACTAAGCTGTTTTCCACATTAATATATTTTAACATGAATTATATATGTTCTTTTCTTTAAAAATGTCTTTGTTGAAAGTGTCTTGAAATTCACTAGAAAGGAATGGAGAAAGCCATTTTTGCTAGTTTTACACTAAATAGCTATTAAAATCAAGTAACCCCTTTGTCTTGGTATAAATTATTGTTGTTGTTAGGGCCAACAGGTTGTTTACAAACCATAGTGATTGTTAGAAACAAGAGATCTGAGCCTTGTCCTATCCTGCATAGTCACCGTGTCAGTCCATCTTTTTGGGGGTCATTAATAAAGTACTAAGGCAGTATATTACTACTAAGGAGACTGTGTATAGAGTCAATGTCAGTAATTTCCTACTAGAATAAATAAAAGGATTTTTTTTGTCATTTAAGGCTAGTCCTTTGTCATTTGAGGCTTGTTTAAAATACAGTATTTGCTCACAAACTTTAGTTAGTTAAGATTAAAGTTAAATTTAAGTGCAATAACATGTCACTAGAATATTCTAATCCAGATTCCTAGGAGAATAAATTTGTTCATGATGATTCCTGAAAAGGTGACTTTCTTTAGAATTTTGAGGTGAAATTATGGAATCACAGGTTTATTGTTGTTATCTACCATCGAATTGGAACCAATTTGTAGTGGACCCTTCAGCAGGTTTTCAGAGGTAGTATCTTACTCCTGTAGAGCAGCTCGTGGATTGTTTGAACTGTGTGCTTTTGGGTTGGCAGTGCAATTCCTTACTACCAAGCCACCATAATTTGTAGTTTTGGACTATTTAATGTGTATCCTGAGGCCCATTACTTTCTTTTGACAAGAACTCAGAATATGTAATATCTTTTTACTTTCAAAACTAGTACACAAACAACATTTTCACAAATGCATTTACCTTTACCTTGTATAATGTTAGTTTTGTATTTTCTGGTTGTTGGGTTTTTTAATTGCTATTATAGCCTATTAAATTGATTTTTTAATCAATTAATAAATTTGTTATCCTAAAGTTGCATAGGAACTACGATTTGGGAAGCATGTAGCAAAAAGATACTAATACTTAGCTTTTTTCTAAATTTTTTATTGCTGTCCAAGGAAAAGTCCTATATGATGAATTTTCTGCATAAGTAAAACTTGACTTTTTAAGCCACAAAATACAAATAGCTGTGATCAGGATTTATGGAGAGATTTTAAAAAATGTATAAATACTTTCCTGCCTTTAAAACAAAAACATAATTTAAAGAGTCTATATTATGTCATAGGGAGCTCTGGTGGCTTAGTGGTAAGAAGTGCTGCCAACCTAAAATCACACGATTTGGATCCATCAGCTGTTCCACAGCAGAAAGGTGGACATTCTCCTCCTGTGTGATTTACTGCAGCTGAAAACCTGCTGGAGGGTCAGCTATGAATTTGACAACAACATGTGACTTCATAGGGTAATTAAGGATTGTAGTTGATTCAGTGGCACTGAACAACAAAAATGGGCCATCGTATATACTTTTATTAATAATGGGGCATTGTCACAGATTCCGTGTTGTTCTCTGCTATGATGCAGAAATTCTCTTAATATGTAAGTTTATAAGGTTTTCTGTATTTATTTCAGCCTACTCTATTGTTTTGAATTCTGATTTTTTAATTTTTGTACTGTTAATGTTATTTGTTGCCAGTATGCTTTTTCTTGCCTCTTTTTAATTTCACTGCTGTTAGTCTCTGTCTGGTCTGGAAAAGCTACTAAATAACTATGCTTAACTAGTGTGTGGATTTTAGAGTGGAAGTGCTATTTAGTGCAGCACAGCCTTTTTTCAGAGTAGCAAAGTTTCTGAATAAGCTTACTCACTCATTTAGTGTAGAGGAAGAACCAACCTACAGCTGACCCTCCATTGGGTTTCTGAGGCTATAAATTGAAGGAGAGGAAGTTGCCTATCTTTTTTCAGTGGAGCCATTGGGGGAATCTCATTGTCCAAGAGGCTTAACATTTAGGTTCACATCACAACTCCTTAAGGACTAAGCTGTCAGAGTGCCCTGAATACAGCAAACCAAAAACTGAACCCACTCTTTGAGTCAGTTTGGGCTAAGTGTCCCTCCATTGGCTCTCTGAGGCTGTAAATATTTACTGAAAGAGATTGCCCATCTTTTCTCCCTTGGGGCAGTTAGCAGCCAGATTCATTGTGTACCACACTGCACTCATGCATGGAATCCTTAAATAGGCATTGTTATTGTTAAATACTATCGAATACGACTCATAGCAACCCCATAAACAGTAGATCTAAACTCTATATTGCACTTAAAATCCCCAACACATTGAATCTATTGCTGCAGATACTGTATCAAGCCATGTCATTGAATGTCCTCCTCTTCACTGACTCTCCACCATTCCAAGCATGATGTCCCTTTCAAGGAATAATCTCTCATAATAATATGTCTAAAATACATGAGACGAAGCTTCACCATCTTTGCCTCCAAGGAACATTCCATTGTACTTTCTCCAAGACATACCTGTTTGTTCTTTTGGCATTCCATGGGATATTCAGCACTTTTCTCAAACACCACAATTCAAATGCATCTAGTCATCCATATTCATTGTCCAGCTTGCAAATGCATAGCAGATAATTGGAAAGACTATTGATTGAATCGGGTGCACCTAAATCTTTAAACAGATATCATTGCTCTTCAGGACTTTGGAGAGATCCCTGACAGCAGACTTCCCCAATGCTGTATGTCTCCTAACTGCAGGTACCAAGAGGGTTGACTGTGAATCCAAGCAAGATGAGATAATTGACTATTTCAGTCTTTTCTCCGTCTCTCATGATGCTGCCAGTTGGGGTAGTGGTGAGGATTTTTGTTTTCTTGATGTTGAGATGTAATGTTGTTTTGTGCTTTCAAGTCGTTTGCCATTCATAGTGACCAGATGTACAACAGCTCTGAACCCTGCTCTATCTTGAGCCAACCTCATTGTCTCTGACACACGTACCCCCATTACCCTAGTCACTGAGTCAATCCCTCTCATCCAGGGCCTTCCTCTCTTGTGTTGTCCCTCCACCCTTCCAAGCATGATTTCTCTCTCCAAAGTCTGGTCTCTCCTTGCATCATGCCCAAAGATGGAGCTTCAAAGTTCTTGCCTCCAAGGAGCAGCCTGTTTTCACTTGGGCTGTATGAGGAGGATTGTAGCACCATGATTAGGAGAAGACTCATCAACAACCTATGTTATGCAGGTGACACAACCTTGCTTGCTGAACTGTAATGAACCTGAGGCATTTGCTGCAAAAGGTCAAGGACTGCAGCCTTCAAGATGAATTGAAGCTCATTTCTCACCTCTGAGCCATTTGGCGGCATCATGATAGATGGTGAACAGATTGAAATTTTTAACAGCTTAAGTTTGCTTGGCTCCACAATCAACACTCTTGGTACTTTTGTTGTTGTTAAGTGCCGTCGAGTCGTAGGTGACTCATAGCAACCCTATGAAAGAAAGTCCTCAACACTTGCATGACTTTCATCTTTTCTCCAGGTTCATAGGGTTTCTGGAGGCAAGCTATTTACAGAAATGGATGCCACTCCTGTTTCCAAGCTTGTTTTAACCGGGGAGCGCCACCAAACACTGTCCACCATGGGTAACCATTTAACCATTTTCGCATTTGACACGTCAGTGTCACGGTGTTCAGCTTCATGGCGACCGCAGGTTACCTCTGTACGGCAAGTGGACACACCAAGGCCATATGACCTAGAAGAATGTTTCACCAAAACCAATTAAAGACAGGCCTTAGGGCCGTGGTAGTAGTAGCCAAGAAATCAAAAAGAAAAGAATTGCATTGGGAAAAATCTGCTGTTTAAAGTACTGAAGAGCAATGGTATCAGTCTAGACACTAAGGTGCACCTGATCCAGTCCATGGTCTTCACAATTACTTGCTATGCTTCAG